GTTATGACCCATATCAAAGGATACCTGGCATGGCAAACACACAACATACAGAGACAAGACTCCATTAGTGAACCCCTCTTGAATTGGCCTTTTCCTCTGCTAAAAGGAAGTGAATTTGCTGTATACTTTCTTCCCTTTTGGAAGACTAGATGGCAGTGATGAATAACAAACACTGAGCTTCTATATAGGAGTAGCAGAGAATGTTACTGTTAGCTCAACTAAATCTAAGGCTCTCTTAGATTAAAAAGAAGTTTTATTTTTGTTGATAATACCTATGTTGCAACTGTCATAGATAGCGGTGAAATTAGAATCTATGTAAGAACAAGTTTGCTCAATAAGGATGGGGAAGTTGCTCTAATCCTCTGACTTGGAAACAAGTTAGCTGGTCTCACAGATGTGACACACAACCTGGAGGAAATTCATGAGGCAGGAAAAACCTGAGTGTCCTAAAGAAACCGAAACCACATTCCTATAAGGATCCCAGACTGATTGTAGCACTGTGACCTCCAGAAAGAGGTCAGTTGAGATTCCACTGTGGGTCTAGTCCCTTGCCAGGCAGAGGAGCTATGGGCTAAATGTTTACAACTTGACCTTGCCAGGCAGAGGGGTCATGGGCCAGATGTTTACAACTTGGTGGCTAACCCTGAAGTCACATCACTTCACTTTTAGAATCCACAAGTTGATTTCTGGGAGTTATGAGAAGGGAAGGCATGAGAAATACTGGGGACAAAAAGGCATACATTACTTTCTTGAGACCAGTGTTAAAAAATAAATCAAATTACAAAAATGAAGTGAGAAATTCCAGAAGTAGCCATACTACAACCTGAAATTAATTTTTTGCTATGAGTAGTACATACTACAGACTAAGACCTAAAGGTCTACAATCTTCTTTTTTGTTTGTTTTTCTGAAACAGGCTCTCTCTGTATAGTCCAGGCTGGCCTCAAACTTTTAATCCTCTTACCTGTGTCTCCCTGTTGCTGAGAATTCCAGAGTCTGCCACCAGTCTTTGACTTCTGCAGCCTTGTTAAGTAACAAAATGAGTCCCCTTTAACTTCCCAATGGCTTTTCACCTGCCATATTTCCTGTGCTCCTCCCATCAGAGGGATAGGTGGAACTCCTACCACCTTCTCATAGATTTAAAAAGAGAGACAAACACTCAAGGGTAATAGAGGAAAATATTATTTACAAGTAGGAATGGAATTGGAGCTGGGAAGGTAGCTCAGTGGTAGAGCGCTTGCCTTGCATGCCTGAGGCCCTGGGTTCCATTCCTCAGCACCACATAAGCAAAAAGAAAAAAGCCGGAAGTGGTGCTGTGGCTCAAGTGGTAGAGCACTAGCCTTGAGCTGAAGAGCTAAGGGACAGCGCCCAGGCCCAGAGTTCAGGCCCCACAACCGGACCCCCCAAAAAACAAAAACACAAGTAGGAATGGAATTGCAGCCTGCTATCCTATCAACCCCAGGCTCCCCTCAATACCCCCCAAACAATGAGCTATAACCTTTTAGAGGTTTGGGGCTGGGAAGGTGGCTCAGTGGTAGAGCGCTTGCCTTGCATGCCTGAGGCCCTGGGTTTGATTCCTCAGCACCACATAAAAAAAAGCCGGAAGTGGCGCTGTGGCTCAAGGGTTAGAGCGCTAGCCTTGAGCTGAAGAGCTGAGGGACAGTGCCCAGGCCCAGAGTTCAGGCCCCATGACCGGACCCAAAAAAACAAACAAACAAACAACAACAACAAAAAAAACCTTTTAGAGGTATGAATAACCCTGAGAATTCAATTAAAACTGTAAACCCTCACTCCAAACACACATACACACATACACACACACGCACACATGTATACACACACGCATGTGCGTGCATACGTGCGCGCACACACCAGATTTATAATTAATGTAAGAGGTTATGGAGTCTCTCCACTCTACTCAGAACCATCAAGCCTAGAGAAAGCCCTTCAGTCCTTGAAGAAAGGCAGGACGGGTTGGCTGTGGCTCAGCAAGGGCAGCCTGTCTCCCAGTCCTTTTTAATCACTGGAATACTCCCCACAGGCCAAAAGTTGATTACTGTGGTCATCTGCACTTCCTTCAACGCCCCTTGTGTATACAGAGAAGCAAACAAAACATTCCCCCAAAAGTGACATTAAGGGTCTGGTTACAACCCACAAAATTACAAGGAAATAGAGATCTCTAGTTCAACCACATACACAGAAGCAAAGATAACAGGGATGGGTGTTTAGCTGACAGACCCAGCTTTTGGATCTACCATAACCAATGGGAAGTAGTAATTTTAAGTTTCTCTGTTTTTTCATCTTAGGGCTATATGGACTAATTTTATAACAAATCTAGGGTTTGGGCTATCAAAATAAAATGATAAAGCCTGTGACTCTAAATATGATTAACTGTCAAAAGGCAAGAAAAATAGGTGAATGGCTACAGGGGAGATGAGGTTCCCACTCAAGGAGATTCAGGCCCTGGAGAGCCTCTTGCCAATGCACTGTGACAATACAACACATGACACCCATTACGATGCATTAGCCCTGTCATCACAGCTGGGGTAAAGACACAGAAGACAGTGGACTCTGTCCTTCCTCCACCTAAGCTACATTATTATGCTAACCCTCACGATTCAAAGAAAAGAACAAATGAGACCTCCAAAAAGAGGAAGGATAAAGAAAAGGTCCACCCCTTCACCAGGATGGAGATCACAAGGCAAACTGTGGAGAAGCCACAGGTTAGCAACAGCATCTGCATTCTCATCTAGAAGGTTAAGTTCAGAAGTGTCCTAACAGTCAAACTGGCCCAAATGGGATTTGACTCTCCCACTACCAGTGCCCACTCATGGTGTACTGGGAGCGCCAGTCTGAAGAACAGCATTACAGATGAAGTGAAGACCATGCTCTGCTGTATTGTTCAGGATTTTCACAATGTCTTGCCTCTTTCCTCCTACAACAAGCTTGTAAAGTAGCTGTGTGTCTAGTCTAGGTTGAGGAAAAACCTCTCAATATACCACTAGTACATTGGTCTTTCAGTTATACCAAAGCCAGAAAGATAAAAGCAAAGGAAGACATTATACAATTCAGATTTTCCTGTGTTAATTAGAATTTAATATTAACAAAAAATTATGCGGGATAGTTACAACATTTAAACACAATCTATTTACATCAAGCTCAATAGCTATGAGTTCAAAAGCAATCCAGGGTCTGAGCTGCTGTTATGCTGTTCTACATGGTGTCAGGATTAAGTCTGAAGGCAATACCAGAGAAGAATCAAGGCAGAAACATTCAGTCTTTCAGACTGGATCTGAGTTTAACTGTTTCCAAACTGTGTTTTGTTGTCTTTTGCTTCTACCTCTCACCATTTTTCTACAAGCATGCTTTCCCTATTTTGAACCACTCTTAGTCTGGCTCAACAACACTGTATAGTCTTAAAGAAACTGATGTGACATAGGATTATCACTTCTAGATGACAGTATGGAAAAAAAGGAACAACCCCCCCCCCCAGCTTTTACATATTAATAGTACCATTGATTTGGGGGAAGGGAGGGAAGTTGAGGGAGGAGAAGCAAGAGAAAATGAGGGAGGGGGTAATATTGTTCAAAAATAAATGTACTCATTACCTTACTTATATAACTGTAACTCCTCTATACCCGACCTTTACAATTAAAGAAAAAGTAATACTGATTAAACAAATGCTATTCAACTCCATTTTTGTTATCTGCTTCTCAGGATAAATCCCTAATACAGCCCTATTTGCCTCTAGGTAGAGCCACTCTATGGCCTAGTGGCCCACAGTGCAAGTGCCCACGGGAATGGGCAAAAAGTACAGGTGCTTTCTCATGCCTTGCTCACTATGAAAAGTCAATCTCCACATGAGAAGACTGGAGCAGAAGGGGAGAGAGGAAAGTCTTTACAGACTTATGTGGTTAGACAGTGGCCACCCTTCAACCACCTTCCCTTTCCCCAGCTTCACAAAGAGCACCACTTCTGTTGGAACACTAACAGTGGACTATCAAAATGTCCATCTAGTAAGACCAGAAAGAACAAGAGGTCAAGGAGGCTGCAAAAATGAATTATCCCACTGTCCTTCCATTGCTAGATTCAGAGGGTATAAAGGGCCATGACACTGTAAGGCTATATTTCAGTTTGGACTTTCCCTGTGAGATGTGTGAGCTGGTAGGTTTTAAACAGGAAAAGACACAACTTTATTTCATGTTGGGTTTTGTTTTGTCTTGGTGCTAGAGATGGAATCTCTAGACAAATAGTCTGCCACTGAGCCACACCCCCAGCCCTCAAACTTCATGTTTTAAAAAGCAAGTTCAATCTGGGTGCTGGTGACTCAAGCCTGTAATTCCAGCTACTCAGAAGGCTGAGATCTGAGGATCTTGGTTTGAAGTCAGCTTGAACATAAAAGCCCATGATACTCTTTATCTTCAATTAACCATGAAAAAGCCAAAAATGGAACTGTAGATCAATGGTAGAGCATGAGCCTTGAGTTCAAGCCTCATTACTAGTACAAAGAAAAAAGAAAGAAAGAAGGAAGGAAAGGAGGGAGGGAGGGAGAAAGGAAAGAAGGAAGGAAGGAAGGAAGGAAGGAAGGAAGGAAGGAAGGAAGGAAGGAAGGAAGGAAGGAAGGAAGGAAGCTCATTTTCACAATAAAAAACTTATTAAAAAAAAACAACAAAAAAGAAAAAGGCAAGCTCATTTTGCTGACATTGTGAAAGTTGTATAAAGCCATGGTCAGAAGGCCACTACAGGGATCCAGATGAGAGGGGTACAAGGCCTGTCCAAGGCAGTAGGAATGGAAAGAAAGGAAGAAGAGAGGCTTGGGAAGGGAGGGGTCTGGTGACAGGCTGCTGGAGGGGAGGGAGAAAGACAAGGCATGTGGGCAAGGAAACAAAGGCCACAAGTGCAGCCTCTCACACTCAATTAACCACCAAAGAATCTATAATACAGCTGAGGACTCTCAAGTGAGGTTAATCACTGCAGATTTCATTCACTTCCACTTCCTTACCTTGGCAGCCGAGTTTGATACCCCATGTGTAACATTTCTGATAAGGCCTCCAACATTTCCATACTTTATCAGGCCAGTAACCCCTTCAGAAACATCATTCAGAAGCCCCATGGGGTTGCCAAGAAAATCTACTGATCCCAGGATTCGAGCTGCCTGGCCGAGGAGCTCCTGTCAAATGGAGAGGAGGAGAAAAATCCTATCAGCACCAGTATATGAGCACAGAGACCAGTATCCCCAACAAGAAGTGAGCAGTCCATCTTGTCCTCCATTCCCACTACTGCCAACAAGGACATTGTAACCTTCATCAACTGCAGCTACCTCCTGTTCTTTCCCAGACCATCTCAACTTCTCCCACTGCACCAACACCACAGATTGCTTTCAATACACTAAAAACTACTTAGCAAAGCTAGTCAGAAGAATAAAAAGAGCTATGGAGTGGAAGGTTCTAAGTATTTAATCGTCTCTACAGCATGCTTTCCCTCCTCTCTGTTAAGAGACAATCAGGCAGGAGCAGGGAGGGAGGAGCAATCCCCTACTTTTCCTGTACCTCCCATTGCTGATTCCAGGCTGTAACACCTCCTTACAGTTAGATGGAAGTATTGCCAATTAGGAAAGTCAAGGAAGGAGGCAGAGAGGGAAAAAATAAAACAAGAATAGACTATATTGGGGGCGGGGGGAGATGGGAAGGGGAAACAAAGGAAGAGGCAACAATGCTTGATAAGAAATGTACTCATTATCTTGCCCATGTAATTGTAACCCCTCTGTACGTTATTTTCACAATAAAAAAAAAGAATAGACTATATTTTAACTTTGAAAGCTAATGAATATGATATGGTCTTTACTATTCATCAACAAATACACTGGTTTTATATTTTGGTTTGTGCAGTCTGTAATAAACACAAATGGAAAATGTTTAACTTGATTAAAAATTTTTTTTCAAGTTCAACTCAAGAACAGGATCTCACAAGCTCTTAGAATACTGATACTGTTCATTTCTCAAACACATACCTGGTAAATAATCACAGTGTTCTGTGTTATTATTAAACACCAACTGAACCATGAAGAATGTGCCTAACCTAGTAGAAGTTTGAGAGTGGCTCTGAGGGACAAGACAACAGCTCCTAAGTCATGTCAACCATCTTAGGGGTTTCATGACACAAATGGGCTTCATAGGATGTGACCTGATCTATAAATGGGGTTTGCAGTAGTAATGTCCCAGTAACAAAGATTCCCAAATAAGCAAAACAAGTATTCTGCTTATGGCCCAACCACTAAGCACTTCTCTAAAGCTCACCTCCTGGAAATGTTTGAGGATGTCATTGATGATGAACTCCTTGGTCTCATAGGGATGGACCCGAGTGAATGGGTCCAGATTAATTACAGCATCTTCAAATCGAATTAATGGGAATCCCAACGTGCTTTTTAAGGCCTAGTGAGGGAAGAAGTAAAATGACACATTTTAGCATTTGACAGTCTTCTAGAATACATGAAAGCTACAAGTTTCCCAACAGGAATCAAGGTTTGATTGATTGATTGATTGCTAGTCCTGGGGCTTGAACTCAGGGCCTGGGCACTACCCTTGAGCTTCTTTGCTCAAGGGTAGCTCTCTACCACTTGAGCCACAGTGCTACTTCGGGCTTTTTCTGTTTATGTGCAACTGAGGAATCAAACCCAGGGCTTCATTCATGCTAGGCAAACACTCTGCCAAGAGATCAAGGTTGTAATATTTACAAATAAGATTTTCCCTTACAACTAAAAAAGGAAAAATATATGCACATATTACCCAGTCACATATACCACACAGAATATGAACCTAGAGCAAATCATGTTAAGAGACACCAGGTGTAGAGAGACAAAAGGCATGTGCTTTCTCTCATATGCGGAAGCAAAGTCTAAAATACAACTATGCACAATAACATATACAGGACTCAATGCATTTACACTCAAATAAGCTTACTAAAGGAAGGTATTCTTAGGGGAGGAATTCAGAGGCATAACTTCCCCTAAAGTACTATTTATCAAAACAAATAGTAGGAAGTAGAAACATTTTGGGGTGAGGCACAGGAGTAGAGGGAGGAAGGGTCAGTAAATGCAGTAATTATATTCAAAGTACATTATATTAAAAAAATGAACTATGTAACTTGTGGGCAGGGACAGGAGGAGGAAGATAGGAGAGAATGAAAAAAGGGGTAACACTGACCAGAAGCATTGTACTCATAACCTGACATGTAACTGTAACCTTTGTAACTACTAAATAAAAACAATAATAATTTTTTAAACTATAACAAAAAAAATAAACACTGTTGGCTTCAGGTGTAATTCCTTTTTCAGTCTGGATGTTTGCCATCTTTTACTTTCTGATGTGTACCACACATACAGAATATAAAATAATCAAATGCATAGATCAGTGATTTCCCCCCCCCAAAAAATGGACACAGGCTTAACTTCTGCCTAGGTCAAGAAGTAGGTCACGACCCCCACAATGGAGGCAGCCTCTTCCCTTTGCAGATACCTAATCACTGCTCTCTTCCTCCCTCAAGACATCCAGAAGCACTGGTTGGATTTTCCTGCTTTGAATTTTAGATAAATGGAACCACTAGCTTCTACTTTGCTGTGGGCTCCTTCCAAGAAACATGAAACATAATAGTGAGATTCACGATTCTATTGCATTTGCTGCAGTTTGTGCTGCAGTTTAATTTTCCATTGTATGAATAAAACCCAAATTATTCCATCACTATTACTGATTGAAAGTTGGGTCATTTCAGTTTCATTTTGTGCTCTTATGAACAATGCTACCATGAAAATTCTTAGCCCAGCCCAACTATTAACTCACAAAATTGTGAACAAATAGAAGTTATTACTTTAAACCTTCAAGTTTTGGGATGGTTGTTGTTTTTGTTGTTTAGTTATTTTACTGCTTCTAGAAATGATATCCTTCAGCAGATCTGGTACTTGTGATGAAATTAAATAGTCTGTATGAAAATTTATGGAAAATTTGAATGAGTCTACCAGGCAAGTATAATAAAGGTTTAAATGCCATAATCTAACCAGGGCTTGGATTTGCTCAAGGCTGGGATTCAGTATTTCTTTTTTTGTTCTTGTGTCTGCATATGTTATTTATTTTTATTAATAAGGTTTTTATTGTGAAAATACCATACAGAGGGGTTACAATTACATGAGTAAGGTAATGAGTACATTTCTTATCAAACATTGTGGTCTCCTCCTTTGTTTCCCCTCATCATCCTTGCCCTCCCAACCTCCCCACCTCCTCACCCACCCTCAAAGTTGTAAAGTTCATTTTTTCGACATAATGTCTTGTACATCTCATTGTTGCAATGGGTCCACCTGTATTCCTACTTAAGCAATTTGTTTTTTCCCTTCCCCTCCCCAAATTATACCACCATCAAATTCAGTGAAAACAGGGGTTGTACCATGGGGGAGGGACATACAAAGCAACAAAAAATCACCTTATAAATGTTAGAAACAATAGCAAAAAAGAAAAACCATTTGAGTCCTTATCTTGGGGTTCATTTCACCTAACATCAACTTATCTGACCTTTCTTGCTTGTCTCAGACATATACTACTTATTGCAAATAAGTAGTATGTTTCTTTGGGCCTGGCTTATTTCACTTAATATAATTTTTTCCAAGTCTTTCCATTTCCTAACAAATGGGGCACTGTCATTCTTTTTGATGGAGGCATAGAATTCCATTGTGTATATATACCACATTTTCTTGATCCATTCATCTACTGAGGGGCATCTGGGTTGGTTCCATATCTTAGATATGATAAATAATGCTGCAATAAACATAGTTGTACTGGTAGCTTTAGTATGGTCTCGTTTGTGATCATTCAGGTAAATGCCCAAAAGTGGGATTGCTGGGTCATAGGGGAGCTCTATGTGGGGTCTTTTGAGGAACCTCCATACTACTTTCCAAAGTGGTTGAACAAGTTTACAATCCCACCAACAATGCAGTAAGGTTCCCTTCTGTCCACATCCCCTCCAGCATCTGTTGTTATTAGAGTTCTTGATTAGAGCCATTCTAGCTTGGGTGAGGTGTTATCTCAATGTTTTGATTTGCATTTCTTTTATGGCTAGGGAGGTTGAACATTTCTTCGTGTGTCTATTGGCCATCCTTCTTTCCTCTTCAGAGAAGATTCTCTTTAAGTCTTTAGCCCACTTATTTATTTATTGGGCAGTTGTTTCTTTGACGATTTGTTGTTGGGGGATTTAATTTTTTGAGTTCCAGGTATATTTTAAATATGAGACCCTTGTCGTTGTATGGCTAGTGAAGATCTTCTCCCAATCTGTGGGCTTTCTATTGATCTTGCTAGCTATGTCCTTTGCCATGCAGAAGCTCTGCAACTTCATGCAATCCCATTTGTCCAACCTTTCTTTGATTTGTTGTGTTTCTGGGTCTCTATTAAGAAATTTTCAGCTTGTGCCAAGGAGACCTAGGATTTCTCCTATTCCATCCTGTAATGTTTTCAGGGTGTCTGTTTTGACTCCGAGGTCTTTGATCCATTTGGAGTTGATTCTGGTGCAGGGTGATATATAAGGATCTAGCTTTAGTTTTCTACAAGTGATTAACCAATTTTGCCAGCACCATTTACTGAAGAGTCTGCCTTTCTTCCATTCTATTTTTTTAGCTCCCTTATGGAAGCTTAGATGGCTATAGGTCTGTGGGTTCATTTCTGGGTTTTCAATTCTATTCCATTGATCCTGAGGTCTGTTCTTGTCCAGTACCAAGCTGTTTTGATTACTATGGCTTTGTAGTAGAGTTTGAAATTTGGTATTGATATTCCTCCAGCACTGTTCTTTCTGTTAAGGATCGTTTTTGCTATTCGGGGTCTTTTATTGTTCCATATGAATTTTTGGATCTTCTCTTCTATTTCCTTGAAGAATGAGGTTGGAATATTGATAGGTATCACATTGAATTTGTAGATAGCCTTGGGAAGTATTGCCATTTTTTCGATGTGGGATGCAGTATTTCTAAGTCCTAGTCTATTTTAGTTGTTGGATGTACTTAAGCTTCTCCACTGAATAGCAATACCATTCCTCCAACTTTAATATCCCCAGTTAAAGTGCAGATGGCTGGGAATGCAGTTTATGGCAGAGTTCTTGCCTAGCACGCACAAAGCCTCAGATTCAGTTCCCAGCACTGCAAACAAAAACAACAAACTTGCCCAAATATCTATTTATCTGCTCACCTTCTTAACTGTCTCTTTTTACTTAAGACTCTCTCAGCAGAAGGTGTCTAAGAAAGTAGCAAATGTCTTAAGAAACAAGGCAGTTCAGATTGGATTCTGTTTGGCAGCTGGTTTCTACTTGGTGTCTTGTCCTTTTCTCCCTCTACCACTTACACATCAGAAAAAGTCTCATGAGTACATACACATTGGACTCTCCAAGTTTTTCTCCTCTCATAAATCCTGGACCTCAAGTACTGGTTGTCTTGGTAGCTTTCCAATGGCTTCAAATAAAATTTAAAATTATTTTAATCTAGCTTTTCTTGAAGATCTCAGCTGGTTTGGCTATCAGCCAATTAACAATTTCTAGAACTGATTCTATAGTCTGATCACATTTTATTTAATATGATAGACATTGACATGTTTAGAAGATATGCCATCTACTCTTCTTTACAGAATGTTGAAATCATTTATTCATGCTAAGGCTATCAGAGCATCAAGAATGCATCTAATTTTATAAATATATTAAAATAATTATAACATTAAGATAATACTGAATTGAGCTGGCTATTATTTATTAAATTCCGACTTCATTTTTCACTTATCTCTTCTTAATCTTTGTGCATGGGTTTCATAGGCTGCCTTAATTTTTTGGAATAACAATACATTTAATTAGAATTTAATTATAGAAGAAAGATGGATGAAATTTCATGACTCAAAATTCATATAGAAAAAGACAATAGGCTGACGAATTTGACAATGTAAAAATGAAGTTTTGCCTGGGTGAATAAACACATCCAATGCAAAATAAAGAGATAAAGGAAAAAAATGAAGAACAAGATGCCTGTAACTACCATCAAAGACAGAACTTTCACCAAGAGCTTCTAAAATTAGAATAGATAGAAGGTAACCTGATAGAAAAAAATGGACCAAGTGATAGACCCAAAGAATTCAGAGAAAAGTCATGGCTTTTTTTTTTTGGCCAGTCCTGGGGCTTAAACTCAGGGTCTGGGTACTATCCCTGAGCCTCTTTGTGCTCAAGGCTAGTGCTCTAACACTTGAACCACAGCACTACTTCTGGCTTTTCCTGAGTAGTTTATTGGGGATAAGTTATGGACTTTCCTACCCAGGCTAGCTTTGTACTATGATCCTTAGATCTCAGCCTCCTGAATAGCTAGGATTACAGGCATGAGCCACCGGCTTACCTGGCCAATGTGGCTCTTTAACATGGATTAGAAGACATGAAATAGAGAGAAATAGTAATCAACAACTTATTGGGTAGAAGGCATGAAATCCAAGACTATTATTTCTCCTCTAAAGTTTCTGCTATCCACTCTCTCACCCATGTGGTGAGCAATGAGGAAATAAGTGAACATACCTGATTTTCCTCCTTTCAATGATGGAGAAACTAAGGCCCAGAGCAAGGTGACCTGCCTTGTTTAGAGCCACAGAAACAGCACTTGGAGGCCCAGGGTCTGACAGTCAGTTCAGCATTTTGTTTAACCAGTATAACTGAGCATCACTTTTGTCCCAGAAAAGAAGTGTAACTGAACAAAGGCTCAAGCAACTTCCTTGTTTTGACCAAATATTGAAGAAGCAGCACCTGCAGTAGCTTCTACAGCTCAAGCTTAAGACCTGTGCTAAGTTGCCAAGCCCTTCAGCAGACACCATTCGCTCTCTGGATAACTAAGAGACTTTGTCTGAATCAAGAAAGAATCCTGACCCTGAGGTAAAAATCATCCTCATCTAGTACTGCTTTGGGACTTCCCATATTCCAAAAGGCTGTGATACCGCCTACTGGTATGAATTATTCTGCCACCTTGAGGCTGATCTGGTCAGTCAAAGTAGAAAAGAGGAGAGAAAAAGAAAGGACCAAACAAGGCTTTTTTTCATATAACCAAATGACTAATCAAATACAGTAGTATATAACATTTATGCTTATTTACTCAAGTAGCAGACAGTTTCCTGTCATAAAACAAATTCTAGAGAAAGCAATCCTGTGTTCCCTAAGTCCTTAATAAAAACAGAACACTGCCTATCCCTAGACAATAACTGCAGAAGCCTTACAGAAATGCTGTAGAGTTAAAAGAAGAAATACCTGTCCACAAGGTCTCAGATCACAAGCTATTCCGTGGGCCACATCCTTTCATTTCTTAAGTTTATCCTGCACTAAACAAAACTGTCTGGAATTCATTCTTTAAAGGTTTATTTATGGTACATAGAGACTGTTTATGTGAAGCAGGGTATTTGCCTATTTCCCTTTTGGGACAGTGTTTAAAACTACAGGGATATTTCCTTCTCTGGCACTTTCTGAAATACAATTAACAATACTGGATCTTTTTTCCTTTTAACAAATCTGGTTTTTATTTAGGGAGGGGAGGGGAAAAGTAAAGGGTCTGAAGTTTCCCAACAAATTATTTCAAGCCTTTGAGAAGACAGTTTTAGGCTTTTTAAATAGTGTCTTTGTTTGAAAATCCCCCTTACCCCCACCCTCTCTCTGACCATTAAAATGTGGGTTTTCTTCCAAACTAGATTGCTCAATTAAAGCCCTTCTTTTGTAATACCCCAATGCCTCAAATGGGAAAGGGACTGCTGTAGGCCACCTTGTGAAACCTTTTAAGAGCTCCTGGCTTCTTTTGATCTTTAAAAAAAAAAAACAACAACAACAACTAAAAACACACCTAGACGCTACCTGGCATTTTTGCTAGCCACTGTCATAACATGCAAACTGGGGAGAAAGATGGTAAGGCCAAGTGGGGGAGGGTGCTGGACTTCTGTCTCTGCATTTGTGAAATAAACTACTACCTCCCCCTTCTTCAATCAGAGTCAGGGATCCAATTGAGACAGCAGATGTGAAACTGCTCTGAGGCCCTCTGAACAGACACTATATCTGGCAACAATGTACCCTCAGTGTAAACCTGGAGAGGCTCCCCTCCGAGATTGCTGACAGCCTCTCCTGGCTGGGAATCAGGAGAATGGAGATAATTATTCCTTCACTACCAAAGACAGGGTTACCTTTTAGTCAGACTCCTGTGATTCCTGCTCAGGGAGAGGACTCCATTTCCAAAGCACATACTTTCAGTGATTATATATTCATCAAAAAGAGCTTATTGCCCTTTCTAAGAGCGACTAATAAAGAGATATTACTCTGTTAGGAAACTCCAAATAAATGACATTATCTTATGAGTCTCAGACTTCACTAGAAGAACTAAAGACACAGTGAAATGGTGACTTTCCATAAGCCAAGAGTTTAAAGTCTGAAGGTTAACCCGATTCCCAGAACCTTGCTTGAAGCGCTAACCTCCCCTCTCCCACAAAGTCCCCTTCCCCTTCCTTCCATGACTGTGCCAGGTAATTTGTTTAACAATGATTTGAAAATGTTCCTTTAAAGTACTGCCAGGTTGAGACAGTCTACCTAAAAAATTCCAGTGTGTTGTATGCACACGTGCGAGTACACACACGCGCGCACACGTACATGCATGCGCGTGCACACACACACACGCACAGAAAAATAAAACATCAATACCACAAAACTGGGCTGTAGACACCACCCTGATTTTTGTCAATCTGGGGAAGACTTCTGCTACAAGCAATCTGAAAGGAGTAGTTGATTGTATGTTTTGTAGTAAAATGATTTAAAAAACAAGACACCCTCAACTTGCAGGAAATGCTTAGCACTGGTTTGCTGGATGAGTGCCAAACATTCTGGGGAGAATTCTTCATCAAACCAACCCATTGCAATGGGTCATATAAGTCAAGTGGATACTTGTGGATATTAGCAAGATAGTGGTTTCCCATGGTTTTCCCCACACTCCCATGCTAATTATTAGGCTTTCCAGTCTCCTGGGAAACATGAAATTAAAGCAGATGGGGGAGCCAGGGCAGGGAGAGAAGGGTGCCACACATGGTCTATCCTCAAGATGGTTTTCCTGGTCCCCACCAGCACCCTAGCTGTTGGTCACTGAATCCACTGTAGCCTTCACCCCTGCCCTGCCCTTCTCCAAATATGATCTGACGCTGAGCAGACCACTGTCTCATTACCTGTGGGTCTATTTTAGAAGCCGTGAGCTGGCAGACCATGGGCCACATGAGGCCCACACATGTGTTTTGTTAGGCCCACCAGGTTTAAAAAAAAAACCACAAAACTTAAATTGGTTGCCAACATTTAAAAACCAGGAGATTCCACATAAAAATATCCAGATTTCCGGCTTCTCTTTAAAAAATCTGAAGATCTGGCAACCCTGGGTTCACATTCCACCATGACAATATGGCTGGAGCTGAGCCACACTGTCCCTATGCTCTGGGAGTACATGGTTCTTACAATGCTTCCCATGCTGGCCAGCATCTGCACAGGCACTTTAGACTACCACTCCAGACTTACTAGGTTCTTGCTCAGATCTCTAGCTGTTCCTGTTCACAGAGAGAGACCATGTTATAGTATATGACAGAAGGTAGCACAGGTGGTAGGCAGGAGTTCAGACACTGGTTACTGGGAGGTCTTGATGACTACCTAAGTATAACAGGGAATGAGCCAAAAGCTCAGCAACAGTGCCCGGCATCTGAGTTAAAGCCTCAGGACTAGCACAAAAAACAAAACAAAACAAAAAAAAACAAAAGCAGTCTATACAAATACTGGCTATGATGTTGATGCTACATGGAAAAAGTGAGTGGGCAACATACTGATGGTTGAAAAGTCGTTCTTGAGAATGAACACAGGTGTCAGCTCACCTTAAGATCCAGTGGCAGCTTGTTGGAGGTAAACACACTCAGTTTGATCTGGGGAATGCTGATCTTGAGATTTTCAAAGTAGTATCGAGTTGGTGTTCCACTCTGCTCAACTGTCTTTTCATGGAGGTTTTCATCATATTTTTCCACCTCTAGAACAAAGGCAGCACACAAGAAAACAACAACAACAGAAAAGTTACATGATTTCATATACTTATATTCCCACTGAAAAACTTCATAGATGAACGTGTTGATACTTTTCTAAGTCTAGTTTTGTTTTTGTTTTTTTTTTTGGGGGGGGGTCTGGTCGTGGGGCCTGAACTCGGGGCCTGGGCGCTGTCCCTCAGCTCTTCAGCTCAAGGCTAGCGCTCTACCACTTGAGCCACAGCGCCACTTCCGGCTTTTTTCTTTTTGTGTGGTGCTGGGGAATCGAACCCAGGACCTCAGGCATGCAAGGCAAACGCTCTACCACTGAGCCACCTTCCCAGCCCTCTAAGTTTAGTTTTTGAGGGATCAGTAATGCATACAGCTTCCTGATGGCCTTTCTTTGTAAAAGCAGATGTTCAATTTATATTTTTTTATCACTAGGCCACATTTATGTATTTTTCTTTTTTTCATTCTATATTATCTTTAAATAGTTGTACAAAAGATTTACCATTTAACAAAGCAGTTTATAAATATATCTTGATCAGTGTCATCCAGTTTAACATTCCATTAGACTATTAATAGTCTACTAGTAAGTAGACTAGCTTAATATTTTAACCTGTGGCTCCATGCCACCTGGCACATCACATCTATGGGATAAATAATCCAGGTAGGAACCAAAGGTCAGAGGTATTTGCTGGCCACAGGCTTTCTAAAACTATTGTTGGTTTCGATATATGTTGATTTTGATACTGTAGGTTTGATATAATACAGATTATCTCGATTTGTCTTATAGTATGATATCCATATAAGGATCTGAAGTACCATACAGCTAACCATAATGAATACTATCACCAATTAAATAATGGATCTGAATCAAACAATGCCTCTATGATACAATATGGAAGAACTGGGGTCATGGCTCAAGTAATAGAGCTCTTACCTAGCGAGGAGGCCCTAAGTTCAAACCTAGAATGTTTGAAAAAAAAAAAAGCTAACCAAAAGAATTGAGCAAAGGCCACTGAGAACTGACATAGCAACCAGTAACACAATACAAAACTGTAGGCATTGGTTTAAGAAGTATAAACAAGGCAGATTACTTTACTTGCTATTATGTGAAGGGACTCAAACACAGTAATATGTGTGCTCTTTCTGCCTGATGCTGTACCCAGCTCAATGTAGGCAGATGCTTTCACTTGGTTTTCTATACCTCACAAAGTCCACACATCTCTACTTAGCAAACAAATTTTTGGTAGAGTTAATACCATAACTATCATCAACTCTACTTACTGATAAATGCCTCTGAACAGAGACCTGCCTATCTATGCTCAGGAAACAATGGGCTAATAAAAGGCAGGCAAGGACTTTATAAAAGTCAAAATCCACCATAGCATATTTCAGGAGAAATCTGCAAGAGCAACTTACAAGGACACTTACCAAAAACAAAACAAAACAACAATGACAAAAAAAAGCATGACCAATCAAACTTGAAGTCAAACTTCTCCAGCAGGTACCAAATCAGAAAAGGGTAACTAGCTGGCATTCAAATAGCTGCCTGAATACAAATAAACACTGGAGCCCCAACTCAGAGTGGAGAATACAGTCTAACAAATAAGACTCTGCTCATGTTCCCAAATACTTATTTTTCCACTTTATCTTCTTTTTGCTTTTACAGTTCCAGGACTAAATCCAGCGCCTCACACGTGCTAAGCACATGCTTTATCACTGAGCAAAATCCTCAGCCAATCCCAAATAATCTTAATGTTTAATTCTAAACCTAGAATATAAAGAACAGAAATATTTTTCCTTGCCGTCTTTGTACACACATACACACACACTGCCAGTGATTTCTTTTTTCTCTAGCCAATATAGGCAGACAATCATAAAAGTCTCTTTCTTATCATTATTTCAGGCTCAATATTTGGAGTAGGCTTTAAAAGGCTGAACACTGACTCCATTCCAAGCTGTATATGCAGCCCAGAAAAAAATCCAGCTAAGAGCAAGAAAAGAGGCTGTGTTGAGGAATCTGAAATAGACAACAACTGAATTATTTCTGTAGTACTGCTACAAATCTGTTTCCTGCTAACATATACAGCTCCTTTCTCTAATGAAGAGAATAAAAAGAAGCTTTTGTATCACATTAAGGCACAGGGTATGGATGTCTAAAGTCCCAGAGCTGGAGCTAGCTAAATTCATTTTCTCAACGAAACCAAAGGAACCGCTGAAGGGATTTCTGATTCTTGGCACTGAGTCTGTTTAATAAACAAAGGTTAGGAAACAAAGCGGTTTGCTAGATGACTAACATAATTTCTGTTATCCTAGAGGAGATGAATCAAAAATGCAAAGCACAGAAGACTGGTGTGCTGCTTCCCAGAGGCCTACCTCTGGACATTCCATAATACCAGAGACCCTCAGGAGCCACCTCGTTCATGGACATTAACTCCAGACAACGTGCAGTCTTGGAAAGAGAACAGCTAAAATGATAACCTCAGCTTCCTAGCTCAAGCCATGAGGTGGAAAGAGGATGGGCAGGCAATCCAGGGGCTACCTATTTTTTGACAAACATGAAAACATACCATCTATATGGCATTTAACATTACCTGACTCTGCCTGATCGTAGCCAAAGAAACTCAGCAGCTTCAGCAGCAGTTTCTCCTCAATCTGCACTGTGAATCTCTGAGCTGTGACCATCAGATGCTAGAGAGAAACAAACTCTAGGTAACAAAGTGAACAATACAAGGACTTTTACAGATGCCATTCAGAAAGCCCCAGCGAGGCCAGGCATGATGGCTCATGCCTATAATCATAGCTACTCACAAGGCTGAGGCAGTAGGGCACATGAGACCAGTTTGGGAACAGCCCAAGAAATACAAAGAGACCTTGTGTTAAAAGAGAGATCAGGGGAAGGGATTGCCAGGAGCCAGTGGTTCATGTCTGTAATCCCAGTTATTCAGGAGGCTGAGATCTGAGGATCTCAGCTCAGAACCATCCTGGGTAAGAAAGTGTATGAGACTCTCATCTCCAATTAAGCGGCAAAAAGCCAGAAGTAGAACTGTGGCTCAAGTAGTAGGGTACTAGCCTTGAGCAAAACGCACAGTGCCAGGCCCTGAGTTCAAGCTTCAGTACCAGTACACAAAAAGGTAAGGGAGAGAAGGAGGTAAAAACACGACATGTTTTCTTTATTTATATCATTTGATGATAGTGCCATTTTTTTCCTGGCTTTTCTCTACTTGTTACAATTTACCAAAACTCTGGAAGGTATTTCGGAGGCATTGGCTGTGCTGCTGCTTGACTCCCAGGAACCTGGTTTCATTAGTCAGAGGTACAGCTTCGGATGTGCCATGGTGGGTCATCCATCACCAGGTGGTACTCTGCTTAGACCCAGGGCAGTCTGTAAGGGGCTACATGACTAGGCACATTGCGGAGGCTGCGGACAGGTGTGTGTAATCCCATCACTGCTAGTGACAAGGGATCAGAAGGAAGGCTCTCACTCTGGTGGAGTTTTCTGCTGTCACAGCTGGCTAATGCACAGGAACCTCTTCAAGACAGATAGCTTGTCACTCCTGAACTACTTGGGTTTAGTAAGCAGTGTGGCAGCTCACAGAGCAGGATGCCTCCCCCAAGGTCTGACCCCTCATCACTCCTTTTCCAGCATCTCTGAACCACTCCATTTTTAATACACAATCTTATAAATGCTACACTTTGCTTCAGAGACTCTGGTACCTGTAGGCTCAAGCACTACCAAACTGCAAGATCACTGAAAACACAACTGAGGATACAAAGTACCAGGAAAAGGAGTTTCTGCACATTCCCTAAATAGCTCAAACCTACAGAACTATTTCCAGGTAGAGCCTGCAGTGCTGGTCACAGCCTTGCCCTCCTCCCAGCTCACCTTGTAGATGTTGGTCAGTGCACTCTTGCTGGGGAACTTCACTGCATTCACCTGCACAGCTGGGCCGGTCTCAATGACCTCGTTCTCATTGCTCAGGGGGGTCACATAGAGCATGAAGGGCTGAGTGGTACCAATGAGCTGGTTATCCACCTAGGACAGGAAAAGGGATCATTAAAAAAAAATCAAAATCAGTAGTCAGGCACTGGTGGCTCATGCCTATAACCCTAGTTACTCAGAAAGCTGAGATTTGAGGATCACGGTTCAACCAGCCCAGACAGGAAAGCCCTTAAGACTCATCTCCAATGAATCACTAGAAAAACGGAAGTGGTGCTGTGGCTCAAAGTGGTAGAGTGCTAGCCTGGAGCACAAAACCACAGGGAGGCCCTGAGTTGAAGCCCCATGACCAAAGTGGTGGGGGAAAAAAATCAAAACTAGACTCAGCAAGTACCCTAGTCATTCTACTGTATTGACTGCAACCAGGAAAACCCATTCTATCTGAAGAACAGGGCCAATAACAGCAATGGGAAGAACACTGGGACCTCTATTTCATTACTTCATTACCTCATCACATCATTAGGTGATGTATTCTGCCAAGAGAACAGACCCAGAATTTACTCATCCAAAACCTAAGTATGTGAGGTAACACCTGATAATTAGCTCAAATTGTTCTACAACAGCCACATTATTTCAAATATTATGTTGTACATGATATGTATATACAAGTTTCATGTCTCAATTTATAATATCACAGAATTAAAAATAAAATTTAAAAGCCTGGCACCAGTGGCTCATGACTGTAATCCTAGCTACTAAAGAGGCTGAGATCTGAGGATCATAGTTCAAAGACAGCCCGGTCAAGAAAGTCCATGAGACTCTTATCTCCAGTATACCACCAGAAAACCGGAAGTGGTGCTATGGTTCAAGTGGTAAAGGGCTAGCCTTGAGCTGAAGAGCCGAGGGACAGTGCCCAGGCCCAGAGTTCAAGACCCACAACTGACAAAATAAATAAATAAATAAAAATAAAATTTAAAATATCAGGTGAGCATGTTATGTTAAGTATTATGCTAGTCAACTCAGATGCATTATCTCATGATGACACAGGAGATCTGTGATAAAGAACTACTAAGAGGTTTTACTGGAAACCTCAAGCACTGAGGTCATCTCCACAGAGGAGATGCTGAAGAGAGGCCCTTGCTCAGGCTGACCAGTGACAGAACCAGTACTGAATCCAGCCTGTGTGGCCCCAAAGCCAGCTGTTCATGCTTCTCTCTCACTCTGACAAAAACTCTGGATTCAGTAGCTTAGGAGCCTACCAAAGTCACTTCCTGTTCCCATCCTAAATTGAGCTTCCCTCTCAGGACACCAAGTCCTCAACTTTAGGGGAGACTGCTGCCTCAACCACACAGTACCACAGATAGGACTGGGCTGCCGTTAGACACTTAAGCAGTCCAGAGGGAGATACCACAGCAGCTATTTCTCACCAGAGATCCACTCTGGGAAGAGGCAAGTGAAAGACCACCTGCTTGATACCCTTAAGAGACCCTCAGTACACACTTTGCATACCTCCTGGAGGAAACCCTTATGTACAGGCATACCACCTCTAGTAAAGAAAAGCTTAGAAAAACTTGCAGAAGTTGAATTACTTGCTCATATCACATAGCTGTGAGTGGAAGAGCTGGGATTCAAGGGCACACATGATCTCTGTGGCCAAATCCCTGACCCCTCTTCTCCCTTACACCCCTGGACTCCACACCTGTGACATAGTAGATGGTGCTCGCTCTCAGAAAGCAAGGATAGGACAAGACGCCTTTTCCTACCTCCACACAGGCTCTGTTTTCTATCTTAAAAAATTACTTCTCTGCCTAGTACCAGTGGCTCACATCTATAATCCTATCTACTAGGGAGGCTGAGATCTGAGGATCAAAAGGAAAGCTCATGAGACTTTCATCTCCAATAACCTCCAAAAGTCCAAAAGTAAAGCTCTGGTTCAAGTGGTAGAGCTCTAGCCTTGAGCATAAAAGCTCAAAGACAGCACACAAGCCCTGAGTTCAAGCCCCAGGACCAGCACACAAACAAACAAACAAACAAGCATTCTTTCTCTGCTTTTAAGTCTCCTCTCCCAGTGCCATGGCCTGGCAACTTCTCAGGGTAGAAAACTAAGTCAACTATAGGGCTCACCTCTTTTGTTTCCCACCTCTTCGGGGTCTCTGTTTTTATGGTCTGATGCCCACTGACCTGAAGCTGTTGCCTCCTTATTCTGCCTTGGTTTTGGGACTGTTTCAGGTGGGATAGTAAATGTGGTACCTGCTGTTCCATGCTTACTGGAAGTAGAAAACATTACCCTCCTGTGCCTCCCTGCCATGAACCTCAAGCCCTCCAAGGACAGGTACAGTTCTGTGCACTTCTGCTCTTTTCTCTCAGTAAGACCAAAAAACATGGGACACCAGGTGCCATTGGCTCACACCTGTAATCCTAGCTACTCAAAAGGCTGAGATCTGGAAGTGGCTCAAGTGTTAGAGTGCTCGCCTTGAGCTGAAGAGTTGAGGGATAGCGCACAAGCCCAGAGTTCAAGCCCCATGACTGACCAAAAAAAAAAAAATTATCAAAAGGCTGAGATCTAAGGATCATGGCTCAAAGCCAGGCTGGGCAGGAGAGTCTGGGAGACTCTTATTTCCAATTAATCACAGAAAAAGCCAGAAGAGGAGCTGTGGTTCAAGTGTTTGAGCACTAGCCTTAAGCAAAAAGAAGCTCAGGGTTAGTGCCCAGAATTCAAGCCCCTAGAACGGAAAAAAATAACAAACAAAAAAACCCACACCATGGGGCACCTTCCTCCTGCCATCCTTACTGACCTGAACAAATTATTTATATACCACTACTAGATTTGAGACAGAGTTAAAGAAAAAAATGAGGGTGGAAACAACCACTTCATAGAATGATTTTTGGAATGTCACAAGGATATTTCCTTCAAAGCATTTAAGTTTTTAGACTACTAAACATTAAATCTGATGCACTGACAGCATGCCAACGAAATGCCCACCTGTACATCCTCAATGCTGAGTTCAAGCATGTGGCTGGTTGCCAGCTGGGTGTAGTGAACATTGATTCCTGTAAGACTCGCAAAGACCAGCTCTTCAGGTACTTTATTAATTAAGGATAGGCCAATTCCACCTTCTAATTTCACAAGCACCTGAAAAGAAATCAAAATATGGCCCACTGGTGGTTTTAAACTGAGCTCCTGGTACAGGAGTATACAAGGAAATGAGTGGCTTCAAATCCCTCTACTCCTGACCTCTGAGTAGATGAAAGCTAATGAAGCAAGAGAACCCAGTGAAGCAGCTCTTGGGCTCCACTGCCCTCATCTCACTAGGAGCCATCCTCCTGAGGTCTGTTCCCCACCCAAGGGCAGAATAACAAAGGGTCTAATGACACCTGACCAGAGCACCAAGTACAGGTACTCTGCCGAACAAGAGGTTAACTGAAAATCTTTCTCCCCATTTGGCATGCAAGCTCTGAATGCATGTTGAATGCATTTCCCTAACATCTGACATGGTGCTTTATACATAGGCATTTGAATTAAAAAAAAAAAAATCACTGAATGATTATCAGGTACATCTCCTCCTCCTCCTCTTGAAGCTTTTCTGTCTCTTCTCAATATCGGGGAGGGGGGTAGAGTGGGGGGGGAGAAAGATGTCAGAGTCAGCTGGAGGAAAAAAAAATCACATGTTTTCTTATTCTCTATCTTAAATCTATTTAAATCTTATTTAAATTCAAACCATCTAGCTTCTTCTTTGTCACCTTACTTTAGCACCATTTGTTCCATTCTGATTCCACATTAACTTTAGCTGTCATTTACACAATATATGCTCACATTCATACTGTGATAACTCAGTGAAGCATAACCCTACTTGGAATTCACACAGAGGAAAAAGAAACCAGAAACCCTCAGCACAGAACCCTCAGCAAATCAATGATCAAGCAAATGAATTTATTGGAAGTGGTGCTGTAGCTCAAGTGGCACGGTGCTTGAGCAAAACAAGCTCAGGGACAATGCCCAGGCGCAGAGTTCAAGCCTCAGGATCAGCAAAAAGAAAAAAGAAATTTACACTTAGAACTTACTTCCAATTCCTGCTCTGTCTCTGAACTCCTTAGTTTCTGTAGCTCTTGTTCAGTAACAGGTAGTTCATCCACTTCATATGATGACTGGTCACTTTTCCACTGGCAGAAATCTGTTATCTGAAGCCAAACAAAACACCATACAAAGAGGGCCACACTTCCACAGGGAAATCCATTCTAACCTGTGACAGCTATGAAACAGCCCTTTAGGCCCAAGAAGTAAATGGTTTCCAAGCACCATTAAGCAAGCTCTGCATGCCGATACAAGGTGCTTCTGAGACTGAGGGGCAAACTCTTTAGCTGAGCACCTTGAGAGCCAGGCATGGTAGTCAAACACCAGCAAGTGATCTGTAATTATAGTTCAAATATTGAGGCAAGCCTCAAGATTACTGCTTTTTATAGCAGTAGCATGGATTGCAGTATGGATTGTGATGAACTATCTCAGACAACACTGTCATGACGCTCTATACTCACACCAGGACTGGTAAGTCCATGTCCACAGCACAGATTTCTCCCTCCAGCTTCAGACCCATATTTACAATAGCTTTTGGACATCTTCGCAGGTGTGAAGGTATCATGTAATATCATGTAGTTATATTACTTCAACAACCCCCAAGCTCCTTGCTCATTTCCCAAGTCTGCTCTGTTTCACTGTTCAGTGCTCTGGTTTACCATCCTCCTCACTAGCTAAGGTGGATTTGCAGGGGGGCGGGAGGAGAGCAATCCTTGATTTCTTCTTCCTTCCTGACACCACATTCAGTCAACTACTAAGTCTAATGTACTCCTAAATAAGCTTCATCTGTTTTTCACCATCTCCCTCACACCTGTCCGTGGCATTTGTTTCAATTCAGGCCTCCACCTCTCAAGTATATTACTAAACTGGATTTCTCTAGCTCAAGTTTTACCCAACTCCAATTCTTCACATTTCAGCAAGAGTTATCTAAAATACATTCTGATCATGCCTAACACTCACTACAACTACATCTTTAGTGTTTATCTCAGGCTGTTCATAATCTGGCCAATGGTCTAGCCTTATTCCTTACCATATTATATGTGCCACCTGGGCCAAGGACCAGTCTCTCACCTGTGGCCCTTCATTCATCAACTTACCAATACTACCTTATTATGTTATCACTCACTGACTATCTACCTGTTTTCCACAATGCATGCTATAAGCAGCCCAGGAATTTTGTCTGTTCACTGGCCTATTCTCAATACCTAGACCTGTACTGGCTCAAATAGCTGCCCAATGAATAACTGCTGAGAATGTGCTCATCATGGAGGATGAAACCACACCATCTTTCCTTGATGATCCTCAAGTTAGTCCATAGTCTTCAGCTGAAGCAGTACTTTTAGGAAGCTCTCCCAACCACTAAACCCACAAACACAAATACTTTCTACATATCATCCCATCTTACTCACAAAACACAACATTTCAACTGAGTACATATCTCATCTCTTTTTGTTTTTAATGTATAATTCTTAAATATCAGCATAGTTATTAACAACATGGGTAACACATGCACAGTTCTGTGTTATCTTCTGTGATTCTTATTTTTTAAGATTTTTTCCTTTAGATTTTACTTCCATTTTGGTTATATGTACACTTCAGTTCTCACTTATGACATAGATCAATCCCCATTTTACAGGTGAAGACACCATGTCCTCATATCCAATATAAATATGTTCATTAAATTCTGTTGAAGGACTGGTCACCAGGAGGAGGGGAAGGCAAATCACCCAAATCACCTGGAGTGCTCTTGTCGGTCCATCCGGAATGACTTTGATGGATAACATGCCAGAACCAGGCCTCATTTTTTGGTTAATAAATTGTTGTTCGGGTGGAACTGGTCCCAAAAGCTCCATAGATGTGTCAGGACCAAGAACGACTTCAGCTCCATCAAACAATCCAGAAAGTCCCCCTTTGGTCTAAAAGACATTGGAGTCCAGATGTATAAGAAAAGGCAAAGGCATGGTCTTTAACAACATTGTCTTTAATGAAACAGGGTACTGAATTCAAATTCTCTTCTGGAGGGTCATGAAAAATGAACACCAAAGCATTAACTATTTGGACAGATTATAAAGAATAAGGTTGTATGAGATGGATGGCAAGTTATGCTTCATGAATTTGGGGAATGACATATACAAGGACAGTGAGAAGTAATTCCATGAACAGAGTCTACTGGTTTTAACCTACCTTGTAATAAATTCCATCCATTGAAAAAAGAAACTTTTAAAGAAAATAACCAAAGCCAGTTTTGAGTATTCTCATAATGTTAAAAACCTTAAATATCCCAAAAATAAAACTACTACTATCATTCAGCTTTCTAATAAGAAGCAAATTCTAGACTTAAAAAACTATATAAGTCAGGCACTGAGACACACACAACTATAATCACAGCTATTTGGGAAGAGTTCAAGGACAGCCTGGGCAAAAAGTTAACAACATCCCCTTTTCAAAAAATAATGGTGGCAGATGCTTGTGATCAGGAGACACAAGTAGAAGGATCACAGTCCCAGACTGGTGTAGGGGAAAAGCAAGACCCTAGGTAAAAAGTAACACAAAGCAGTGGGGCGCTGGTGGCTCATACTTGTATCCTAGCTACTCAGGAAGATATCAATCTGAGTATCACAGTTCAAAGCCAGCCCAGAAAGGGAAGTTATTAGTTATTTTATATATTATTAGTTATATATTTTTATGTATTATTAGTTATTTCTAACTAACCACCAGAAAAACAGAAGTGCCTCTGTGGCTCAAGGTGGTAGAGTGCTAGCCTTGAGTGAAAGAGTTCAGAGACAGTGCCCAGGTCGCAAGTTCAAGCCCCACAACTGACAAAAACAACAACAACAACAAAATAACACAAAGCAGCCAGGCACTGGTGGTGGCTCACACCTGTAATCCTACCTACTGGAGAGGCTGAGATCTGAGGATCGCGATTCAAAGCCAGCCCAGGCAGGAAAGGCTGTGAAACTCTTAACTCCAGCAAACCACTAGAAAACCAGAGATGGCGCTGTGGCTCAATTGGTAGAGTACTCACCTTGAGCTGAAGAGTGCCGGGACAGCACCCAAGCCCAGAGTTCAAGTCCCATTAAGTAAATAAATAAATAAATAACTCAAAGCAAACAGGGTTCAACTAGGCCTATGGCTGGACAACCAGCCCAAATAGTCAAAAGCTGTTGCCTCCTTTAATATGTAATTCAGCGCTGGGCACATCATTGGATGCCAGCTGTGCAAGTTTCTGAAGCAAAGTACATTCTTGCTGTCTACCCCACATGAAATAGAGGACTACAAGGAGACCTGGGGGACAGTAGCCTCTGCCAGAGAGGACAGACACAATCCAAGTCTACATCTTCTTTGTTAAGTTTCAATAATGAATAATGAAAACAAAACTGTGAAGCTGGGTTTGCAGGGTAGGTTTCAGTATAGAGAAAGCCTTTCATGACTGCTGTAAGTTTACAAAGCACATACATTATAAGGGCAGGGTCAGAAAGTGTTTTAATGTCTTCAATTACTTCATTCAGTATAATAAGATTGAAACAAGCTTATTTCTCTAACAGACACACACTCTGCCTTGCTGCATGCTGCTATTATGGGGTCATCCACAAACAGAGAAATGATGAAATAGATTCAAAAAACAACAAACATCAGAAAGGGATTTGGGGGAAGAGAATGCTCCAAGAGAAATGGAATTACATGGGCTTTAGGAAAAAACTAAAGTCAGGGTCAGACCCGGAACCCACCAATTATAACAAGCCCGCTTTTGCCTCTAGAAGTCTGAACTGTACTGCTAATTGAAAATCACAAATCCATTCCAGATGTGTGTTTCATATAAGTCAGCAGCTTGCCTTTGATGAAACAGCTCAGGGCAACAGCGATAAAGAAAATAAATCTCACCAAATAGCAGTACGAGGCTCCTCACACTGTGCCCACTGCCCTGGACTACCTACCATCTGCTCTGTGAAGGACCGCCTGGTTCTACCCAGGACAAAAATGCACTAGCAGCTCTCTATCAAGTGTTTAGTCTTTGGTAAAGCCCACACTGGGCAGAAGTATACACACTATCACATGTGTTGCTCTGTTATATACTCAAACCTCTGAGCTACCCTTCCTATCTGCTCATTTCAGATCCATGGCTCAGTCCCAGACTGAAGCCAGAAAGGGCAGAAAAGCTAAAACTTAGTAATTTTCCCAACATGTATTTGCTTATAAAGTAATTGAAGTTTATTATGGAATAGATTAGCTGAGCTGAGGACACAGGAATTCGTTAAGCAATCTTGATTGGGATATTTGCAACAATTCGATGCTTATTTGGATACCACCAAGAGTGGAGAAATAATCAGTCAAAGTATGCACAGGCCATCCTGCTCACTAGCTCCTGCAATACTTCAAAATACTGTTTTAGCCTTACATGAACTTCAGGGGCCTAAAGCTAACTCATCTAGCTTCCAATTAGACTTTGAGCTGATGCTTTTCTTTCCTTCTTTTAAAAAGCACACAGGTGCCACATACTGGTGGCTCACACCTATAATCCTAGCTATTCAGGAAGCTGAGCTTTGAAGATTATGGTTCAAAGCCAACCTGAGCAGAAAAATCTCTGAGGCTCTTATTTCCAATTACCAGCAAAAAAAAGCTGGAAGTGGAGCTAGCTTTGACTCAAATGGTAGAGCACCAGCCTTGAGTAAAAAAAGGCTAAAGTGTAACACCTAGATCCTTAGTTCAGTATTGGTGCCCCAGTAGTGGTACCAAAAGCATCCCAAAACAAAAAAATAGCACATAGGTAATTTCTATCATGAGAGAAAAAACATCCAGGGAAACAAAGAGGGAGAAAAAAGTCCCATCACCCTAGTCAATCATCCTGAACATACTTGTAAATCATTTTCAAGACTACTTCCCACGTAAGTAGCACACAGGTGCACAAAAGCTTCTTGAATGGTCTTTAATAAAAATGGAACAGCTAATAACTCAGGAGGCAGAGTTTAGTTTGAGGGAGGAGACTCCCATCTCAACCAATAGCTAGGCGCAGTGGTATGTGCCTGTCCTCCCAGCTGTGACAGGATCACTGTTCAAGCAAAAAGCAAGAGCCTATCTCAAAATTAACCAAAGCATGCTGCAGGTGTGGCCTGAACAGTACTGTGCCTGACTAAAGAGAATGAAGCCCTAAGTTCAAATCCCAGTACACTCCTCCTTCCCCCTCAAAAAAGAATGAAGATAATGGAATATGTTTTCATTTACAATTAACTTTTCCCATTTAACTATTAACTGTGACTTAGTTGAGACTTGATTACAAAGAAGGTTCAACCCCTGCGCACATTAACTGACCTGGACCACCAAGCCATGCAGGCCACAGGTCAGTTTTCCTTCTCGGAAATTCCATGTCTGGGTGGTGCTTCGCCTGCGATCTGGCTTACGTAGCATCAGTGGCTCATACCTGGACAGAGACAATCAGTAAGTCCTCTGGGAAAATAGCTCAGGCCTGAAGAGAAGCTATGGATCAGCCTTTGCTTGTCTGTCATTTAGAACTGTCTGCCCTTAACATCTAAAGAGCAAGTTAGCTGAGCTCATGCAGTGGTCAGGTATCTCTCAATGAAAGAGGGACAGGACAGAATGGAGGATGTGTGACACAGAGCTGACATTCTCTCAATCACAACTAATCTGCAACAGGAGGACATCTGCTGAACAGATTGAGATTCTTTGCAACAGCCCATTTTCTGCTTTATTTCTAAACACTTTTGTTTACTGTTTTGACTTAAAAGTCTTTTTGGAAGTAAATAAATAAACTAAAAATAAATACACGTATTTTATGAAAAACTAAGACACAGGAAAATAAAATAACTTGCTCAAACTTAACAAGCTGATTTAAATCTAGAGTTATTCATAAAAACACACCTAAAGAGATTCTTATTAATTTCTTTTGAAGTATTTTTAAATGGGGAAAAAAGGTTTAAAATGTATTATAAAGAGTAAACTAGAAGTTTAGGAGAAAAAATATTCACTTTCTGTAACATTTTATTATTTGACATTTCTTACCATTTCATAGTAACTTCAAAATATTAAATATTAAATAAAAAGCCCAACACTCAGGTCTGAGAATTTAACAGGCTCCTGTCGCTGAAGAAAAAAAATACAAGTATAAAACACCAATATTTGCCAAGCATATTTGGCAAGCAGAAGGATTCATGCCTATAATCCTAGCTAGTCCAGAGGCCGAAACTGGAAGAATTGCAATTCAAAGCCAACTGGGGCAAAAAGTTCTCACGACCCCATATCAACCATCAAATCAGGCATAGTGGTTCACAACTGTGATCCCAGCTGCGCTAGAAGCTGTAGGTTTTGTGGGTCAGTCTAGACCAGTCTCTGTAACAAACATGAGACTGTTTCTTTTTTCTGTGTGTGTGCCCATCCTTGGGCTTGAGCTCAGGGCCTGAGTACTTTCCCTGAGCTTTTTATTTTTTTTTATTTTTTTTTAGGTCCGGTTGTGGGGCCTGAACTCTGGGCCTGGGCGCTGTTCCTCAGCTCTTCAGCTCAAGGCTAGCACTCTACCACTTGAGCCACAGCGCCACTTCCG